CCACATAACTTTTCGCCGATTTCCTCTTACTCAGGCTATGGATATAAAATGAGAAACATGAGTTCCTTTACTGTATTGAGTGTAGTTTTGAGCCATACCAGTCCGTTCTTGAGAAGTTTCTATTGAAATATAGCATGGATAATGGTTATTTAAAAACTATATACCAGGAGAGGAAAAGAAGAAAAAAGATGACAAGGAATCAATATCCAGGTTAAAAGTGCTTAAAATTCCAACTGCACTCATGTTATGTAAGTACATGACTACACTGAACATTTAACATATTTTTTCTGACAATGGATAATGGAGAGTTAATATTACTGGATAATGTGATTGCTGATGCACCCTGAGTTGAGGGTGGCCAGAATACTTCTTTTGGCAGAACATTTATGTGGATGTCTAACGAACAAAAACACGTGGCTCATTTGACGTTTTGCCGAACGATACCAGAGAACTTAAAAGACACCAGCTCTATATTGATTGCATTCCTAGAGTCTAAAACCATATTAGAAATCAAACTGTTACACCTTCTCTGCACTGTTATATGTCATTTTATATCGAAGCTTTTAGGTAATCTTGGAGGGCAGATTCTTGCTGTAAGCCAAATGCATTGGCAAAGAAAGTAAGCAAGATGGCTTCTCACCATCCCTTTTCGTTCATGACGAGGAAAGAAACAAAGACGACCGGCTTTTTTTGTGCATTATTATAGCTGATTATCCGTTATAGGTATTAGATAAATGTTGTAAAGTGATAGCTTATGCGTTCGAAAGGTTGATAAACATTAACAAAATTACAAAAATGTAATTTTTGTAAAAGTTGTCGGAGTGGCAAAAGTTGCTCGAAGTTGCCAGAAACTCGAAAAGTGCTCCAAACGCTAAAAGTTGCTCAAAAGTTGCCGAGCACAAGGGAAGGGGCTATTTTTAAGTTACAATGTCTTAGAGACTAGAGCTCTTACATTTGTTTAAGAGTTACCGAAATGAGAGTCTTTACTAAATTTTCCTGTCATTTTATTCCAGCTCTCTGCTTTGTCGTCTGTGGCTTGTCATTTTCTTACCCTGAACCTATCTTAGGGCCTCACTTGATAGAGGTACAATTACGACCTTTACTTTTAAATCATGTTAGGTCTTTTTGAGGTGACATATAATGTTTCCGCATTCTGTCACAGAACATGCTTTGTCAACTAGATGGTTTGATCAAACAGAATCCCTTAACGCAGTACCTTGAGGAATATTCAAAAGTGAATATGAGTACTTCAGGATTTCGTTAGTTCTGTTTGATTTCCCTCTTGTGATCCGGTAAACTCACGCCAACTATTTGGAGGTAGAACTAAAACTTATTACGACTTTGTCACTGTCATTTTCCCGCCCCTCACAAAGGTTCCTTCCTTGTTTTTTCCAATTCCTTATTAGCTCCGCGTGACATTTTTATTACCTCTAATTGGACGTTGTTACTACTTTGGTTTCCGTTATGCGACATTTGATCGAAATTAGCTTGTGACCAGGCCCTCACCGTTAACGCTGCCGGACGTGCATATCTCTGCAGGCGGGAAAATTAGAGACGAGTTGAGACAGGTTTGCTGGGATCTGGCAGACCCCAAATTGACCGCTGGCCGGCTTGCTTCTCTCAAGAACTCAGACCTTCTCGCGGGCCAAATAACGCTCGTATTGTAGCGCTTATAAACGAAATGCGATTTATTATTCCTTTTGGAAAATTGAGTTCGCCAAACTTTTAAGGTCTTCTGTCTTCAAAGTTGGGCTTAATGGTCCATTTGGCATATATTCACTTCACAGATGGGTCAAAATCCAACAAATGTTGGTCTTGCTTTTCTTTGTTGGGCTGCGACTTACACCCTGTTAGCACCATTGGTCGGATACATAGGAGATAAAACGGTAAGTTTTCCCTTTAGCATAGCAAAAATTAACTTTGCATCGGGGTCTGGCATCATCACAATTACCAAATCTGCGCTCCAAAAACTTTCATTAACAAGACAAGCGTTTGCCGGTAGGGGACAGAGCGGGGTCTCCAGTGCATTATGAAGTGGGTAATGACATGTTCAAACTCAATTTCACGAAATTCAACTTGGTGACCGACAGAGTCCATTCCGTTTGAATCAAAAGTGTCTTCCCCAGAGGCTAGGGGATGAATTCTAAACATTAAAGAGTGCTGAGGGAAAATAGCGACTTTCAGTGACGTCTTGCTGTGAGGAGTTTTCTCAGAAATTTTCTGCTTCGATATTTGTAGGTTCTCTAATGACAAAACTTACCATTTATACCTCCGATTTAGCTGATTGAATTGTTAACTCGAGGCGTCAACTCAGAGAAAAAAATCATCCACTCCGAAAGCTGTGTTGTTAAGAACTCATGGTAACAGCTCTTTCCAGTGTGATTTGGTATGCAATGTATTAAAAATAAAAGCATGATTTTGATGGAACTGCATATCTTAAAAAATCTCTTTGCAGAAATGTTATCGAACGATGATGATAGCAGGTTTTACTGTACTTCTCATTGGACATCTGTTGGTGGGACCTGCTCCATTTCTTACGTTCTTACCAGCTAAGTATGTGCACCAATCATTCTGCATATTTTCATTATCATGTTAATTAAAAGTACCAGTAAAAAAAACGATCTTCAATATTCTGAGAAATTTGTACAACATAGATTTGTGGCTGCGATATCAAGTTTCACGCCTATTTCCAAAACGATCCAAATCTGTGGTTCAGTCACCTTTGAGAAATGCTATGTTAATGATAAAACTTATTCGGTTCCGCTATTCTTGCAGGACGATTTGGCTGCTAATTCCAGCAATGTTCCTTTATGGAATTTCTGGTGCTCTCGGTTTTGTACCCATCATGCCTGAACTCATTAAAACTTTAAGGTAAATACCAATGTTTAAGTAAATACAACAACCAATGCAAGGGGGGCACAAAAGGCGTTACTAGTTTAACAGCAATACACAGAGCTATACCCTAATTTCCCCGGGTAGATTCGTCGTCGCCATGATAGCAGGGAATATGTTCTTTGACATATTACATTACAATTTTGAGAACTCTGAAAGTGAGAGATGATGAGTTTTCATTTTCGATGTCACTTATGCGTCGGTGTCTGTTTTTGTGAATGATTTTGAGTGGGTATGTTTGGCATTTAACTATTAAATTAGTGTAATTAAGTCCTCCCTCCTTCCTCTTTGTTTGTGAACCTTTGTAATTATTTTTAACGAGTACAGCGACCCCGATCGATGACTCGAACCTTTAAGATAAAATAAAAAAGAGTCCTTTCTTTTTTTTTCTAGCATTCGAATTATCTAGAATTAAGTCACAGTAAATGAATGGTGGATTTCCAGAGAATTCGGTTTGGTTCGAGTTAGCACGAGGTTCGAATTGGCGAGTGTTGAGTTATTGGAAGTCAACTTCATTGATTAACCTTTTTTTATAATCATGTTTTTGTACTTGCTTGCTGCTTCTTTTTCCCTCGCAGGGAAGATGGAATGCCCGATGATTCCTTCACAAACGCGCTTGTGTCAAGTATTTACATTTGTATGTACTATTTAGGGTATGTGCACTTTTTTATTGACTCTTTATCTCTTTTGTTTTAATTGCTAAAGCAGCAACGATTTGAGGGAGGGCAGACGCTAACATCCACGCTTGAAATGGATTATAAATGTTTTTCAACTTTTTCATTCCAGGTCGGTGATTGGGCCCGTTCTAGCTGGAGTACTATGTGATCACTTTGGATTTGAGTGGTCCATGACTGTAAGTGCTCTTTCATCGATCATTCAAGGCATTTGATATACGCTAAGAGACTTGATATCATAAAGAGTTTTGAGGAGAATTTAGTATTTATCACCTGCGGGGAGGGGGAGAAGGGAGAATTTCAGTGGGGATCAGATGGTTTTCTCTGTGGGGAAACAGATAGGGGATCAGTCGTCGCCTAAAGACAATAAAGGACGGACTATTAAAAATTAACT